GGGAAAAAAAAAAAACCACATAAACAGTTCTGTATGTTCCTTAAATGTTAAAGTTGCCTTCGAGGACAGGGGTGGGAGGGAGACCTTTTCATATCCCCCTTTGCTCACTTTTGAATTTTAAACCCTCGGACTATATTCCCTATCCCCCAAATAAGAAAATAAAACCAAAAGAAAAGAAAACTTCCTCTACCTTAACTCTGCCCTCCCACCTGCCAAATCACGGAGAAGGATCCATCTGGGTTACTTTTAGAACACGGATCAAGTTTCCCTTTCCTTGTGGTCTGATAGACTTCGTGTCCTTGGCTGAAGGACTAAAGCTTTTATTTTTACATGAATCTGCCCATGACTGCAGCCTCTCATTTGCAAGTCCCCACGTGTTCGTCTACCCAGTAGGCCGCCATATGGCTTGCAATGACTCCGCCATGCCCCCACGCCTGCACTTTCACAAGGGCAGAACACGGAGCTCACTGGCAATGTCTTTGCTTGTGTGTCCACAATGAGAGAGCCCCTGGTTAGGGCACCAGATGCCCTCCGGCGCCTGGCAATTCACCCACTTTCTTGGGGATTGCGACAACTGTTCAAAACTCTCTTTTGAGGGAAGCCCGAGTGGCTCAGTCGTTAAGCGTCTGCCTTCGGCTCAGGTCATGATCCCAGGGTCCTGGGATCGAGCCCCGCATGGGGCTCCCTGCTCGGCGGGAAGCCTGCTTCTCCCTCTCCCACTCCCCCTGCTTGTGTTCCCTCTCTTGCTGTCTCTCTGTCAAATAAATAAATAAAATCTTTAAAATTTTGAGCAAGGTGCTAGGAGGGTGAGGACAAAAAAATACGGTTACCGCCTTCAAAAAGCTGATAACCTGCATGCAGACGTAAGAAATATGGGTGAAAAGCTAGTAATATCAGCCTCACTATTAAACACCATGAGTGGGGTGGGCACTGGGACGACCACAGCTCAGGGGAGGGGTGGGAGAGCGCCATTCAATGAGGCTCCAGAGTCTGGGGAGGGTTTGTCTTCAAGCGAGAGCAAATCACCAAAAGCGATGAAGCTGGAGCGGAGATGTCACGGACGGCAGCTCAGACTAGCGAGCTCGTGGCTGGGAAGGGGGATCTGTGGGCAGCCTCAGGGAGTGTCAGCACAGCAGGACCAAGAGGAAGTGGGTCCCAGGTGCCCAGATGGGCAGATTCCTGAGCCCGGCAGGTGAATGTGGTCAGCCCTGCTGGACAGGTGTTATGGCTGCCCAAGACAAGCTGAATCTCCAACTACACTCTAGAATGTGCGGTCCATTCTGGCCAAGACACATTCTCTAGTCTTTTATTTTTTAACTAACTGCCCCACATGCACAGAGAGGTACTTATTCTTCAGCTCACCACAATAGCAATCTTCCCCTCCTTGACCAAGGTTTGCCTCGACAAAATGGCCAAATGAGGACACGGGGACACACACACACACACACCCCGCGCGGGAACTAAGCATACTGTGATGCACAGATGTGGCTTCCGTACCACACATTATAATGAACGATGGCAAGCTCGGCTTCCATAATGTCATGACACGTGAGGAGGACCCTGCGGGCACCCCTCATCATGACTTCTCACTCTCCCAACACTCACTCTCAGACTTCAGGAGTCAAGCAAATCTGGATTCATCTTTCAGGGACTCCTTAGCTCTCACAGCTCTGGTACAGGCTGCCCGAAGCTTAGAAAGCAAACACATGGACTCAGATGATGGGGCATCTCTTGATAGCCAAGCACAGGACGAGGTGGTGTGGGGCTGTGCTGTACTTTGCAAGGACATCATAGCCCTTTGGAAATTTTACACATTGAAATCTGGACAGAGAATTTTAAACAAACGGAAAGGACACTCACTTGCAGCTCTCCTTCCCACCAACCGCCTGGGTTCTTTTTTCGGATCAAAATCAGCTGACCAGGGGCCAGAGTCAGCTGCTCGGGACCTGTGGCAGCATAATAGGCAATAACCTGCGCGATTTCTGGAAAACAAGACCAAACATCGCGGCGCGGTGTTACGGTCAGGAGGAGAAATCCTAGAAGATGCAGCCACCTCCCGGGTTCACAGATCATCAGCACCAAAGCCAATGCCCTGGGCTGCTTTTCTGCTCAATGAATGAAGACAGCTCACTCAGTGGCCCCCGTTCCACGACCTACGATCCAGAGGTGGCATTCAAGGGCTCGGCTGAACTTTTGGTTCTGCTCTAGGACCTCCTCATCACCCCTCAGAACTTCTTTACCAAACTTCCCTCCACGAACCCCATTCTTGCCCCCCAGTTCCCACACCTTCTGTCCCAGCCCCTCCCACAATTTCTGCAAACGCCCTGCTGCCCACAGCGGGGGCCTCGTTCCTCCACACCCCGCCCTCCGCCCCGCAGTGCGAGCACCCAGTACACTCACGGGTGGGTACGTGAATAAAGGAACTCAAGTGGAGCTTCCCCCCCTGACAAGGAAGTAGAAAGAGGAATTCTATTTTCTCCAGAAACTTTTGGGAGCATGGCGCTAGCTGATTTAGACGTTGTAGCTTTAGACGCTCAGCCTCACCCACATGGCCATTTTCTCTGTGGCTCACATTTTGAGAGGGATCCTTGAATATCAGGTGGGAATCATGTCAATGCATGTTTACTTTTACTTCAAGTTAAAAAAAAGAATTGGGAGTTAAGAGAATTTTAGGCAAAAACAGTTCAGCACAGGGGAAAAAAAAAAAAACCACATAAACAGTTCTGTATTTTCCCTAAATGTTAAAAATCTCATGGGAAAAATTCCAGCAGTACCACAGACCAGACTCTGAAAAGTACATTTCTACTGGCAGAGGAGGTCGAGTACGAAAAAACAAAATCCCTCTCTGACTGAATTCTGGCATTTCTGCAGTGACTGCTTTCGGAACTTCTAGAAGCAATATGGAACAAACTGTTCTGCTCCTCCACACTCTCCCCCCATCCTAACAGATCTTGAAAGAAAGAAGGAATGAGGGAAAGCAAGTAAGAAAGAAAAGAGGTAAAAAGACCCCCCTGTCCTCTGACGGTACTTCCTCCTGCTCAAAAAGCACATTAGCAACCCCCTCTGACCCTGTTCTGCCATCGGCCGCCGGCCACCAAGCCCGGCGCACCAGGCTGTCAGGGGGCAGGCCCGGCCCTGCCAGATGCTTTGGGCTGACCAGGCGAAGCAAGAAAGAGGCCAGCTTACATACACCTCGGCCCCACTGAGAGTCCTCGCTGGGAAATCTGTGCTGGGGGTAAGAATTCTCCCCTCACACGCCAAGGACTAGCTCTAGATTCCAAGAGTTTCTGGTGTGGAGAGAGTCCAAATGAGTGTCCTATTTGGCCTCAGATTTTCCTGCTCCTCAAAGGACCTGGCATGCACAGCCAGCAATCTGCCCCCAGCATTCATTTCTGTTTTTTGTGTGCCTGAGGAGCTCTCTGGTTTCAGTACAAAGTTAAGCCCATCTGGACCCTTTGGAATGACAATTCAAAATGTAAAACACTCACAATTAAAACAGAGATGGGGACCCAGGTGTTCCAGTGTCTGGAGGCTGACTAAAATCCTATGACAACCCGAGAACCCACTTTTCCTTGTCAGGTAAGCCCATCTGGAGCTGAGCACCAGACCCAGAAACACCAGACCCCCCTGGGAGCCTGCCAGGGATGCCCCATCTACATCTCCTCCAGACACAATAGCAAAAATGCTCAAATGACCTAGAGGTGGAGGACATGCCATACAAATCTTATTGTTTCACATCTGCTTCTTTCCCCTCGCGTTCATGGTACTATTTGTAGAACACGTGATTTTGTTTCCATTAACTACAGCACTGAATTCAGAGGGATGACTGTAATTTCGTACCTTCAGTGTGTACCTGAGGAAAACCACCCCATGGCTTCTAAATTAATGGGACCTCTACTTTGTTCTTTGAACCCTGGCCACTATTTGTCCTGGGACTGAATTGTGCTGTCAGGAGAGGAAATGAGCCCCCTGGACCTCGCACGGGGTGAGGACATGGTGGCTACGCCCATATCTTAAAGCTCCATGCGTTACAGCTTGCCACCACCTTGCCTGACTTACTTCTTCGCAACCCACGAGAACATTCTGTCTAGCGACGTCCCCTCTCCCCATGTGTGAAGCAACAGCTAGAGTGCATCACCATGTACACATTATAAATGGATTCTGAGAAAAGGATAAACTCCAACCCCTCTTAAGAAAGATTCTGTCGTCTTCCCTTCCTTCAGAGTATGGGACAGGCTCCCAATACTCTGGCGGTGGGCCCACCCCACCATCTCATTAAACTCGCACCATCTCAAGACCACTTGCTCTGTAACTGGATTT